CCTCTCCATCTCCATATTCTCTCCCTTTGAAAAAACTCCACTCCTGGCTCGCGATATGTTTTTCTGCCCCTCGATGCCCTAGCAGCCACAGTTCTTTGTTTCTCTGCGCTCTTTTCTTTCGCAGTAGGACCCTCACCAAAAGTTTTAGTTGTCACGTAACCAACTGGCAACTGCTCCTAGATACTCACGCAGCCGCTGTTTGTACTAGTGTACCCAGGATAGGACGGGTGTGTCCACGTAGTGAGTCCGGCAGCGGCTGCGTGAGTATCTAGGAGCAGTTGCCAGTTGGTTACGTGACAACTAAAACTTTTGGTGAGGGTCCTACTGCGAAAGAAAAGAGCGCAGAGAAACAAAGAACTGTGGCTGCTAGGGCATCGAGGGGTAGAAAAACATCGCGAGCAGGAGTTGAGTTTTTTTCAAAGGGAGAGGATATCGAGATGGATAGGCCACTTACCATGCGTGAAAAAAGGGAATGTGAAATGTCTGGGTGGTCCCAACCGCCATGCTGACGAGAGCGCTGAGAAAAACTGAGAGTCTATTCCGTTAAAGGGACTGAGTTTTAGGTGTCCGCAGACCTGCTGGTTAGGGCAGAGAGGTTGAGAGGAGGATCGGCATTTTCTTGTGCCGTCGTGCTTTTCTATGCACACGATGTCTGTGTCTGTGACTGGATCGGCAGCTGTCTAGCCCTGCATTTAAGTTCTTGGACAGACATAGAGTAAGTCATGAAGCATATTTCACTCAACCAAGCCTCCCATCCCGTTCGGGTCGATCGGAGTTTCGATAAGGGAAAAGTCTGCCATAGGTCAACACGTATTCAGAAGCCACTGTGATTCCAACCTTCAATGAAAGTGCGATGGCGCTGCTGTGGCACTTCCCAAAAAGGAGTCTACCACCAGGACCGCCATCACATTGTGATAAATTCTTGTTAAATACTACCTCCTCCGAAAGCGAGTCTCGTTGCGACCTCCCCCCCAGGAGAAAGGCAACGGCAGAAAAAGATGATATCGAACAGGATACTCAAATTTCAAGTGTTCGCGCACGTTTAGACATTGGGCACAGGCATGCAAAACGCTTTTTCACTGACTGTTTCGCGTGCGTAGAGCGACTATTTCGCAGGATGTGTGTGGCAGAAAATAGGCAGGAGCTCCAAGAAGGAACTCTTTGCTTAAGACCAAAGACTTTCTTCATAATGCGGACTGTGGGGTTTGAAGAGTTGAAGAGCAGGTTTGTGAAGCCTGGAGATGTTCATGCCTAACCGCTGCATGAGCTTCTTCAAACCTACCGCTTTGAGGGAATTTCCCCATTTCTTGACGTTGTTTTGGCATTTTAGTGTTGCCTGCGAGTTTTGTTGCTTTGAAAGGCCATAACATTCTTCAGAGGTGATCCCTCAAGAAGCCAATAGTGCTGAGTGCCGAATATCTGCGAATACTCGTCTGTTCAGAAAGCGCGTTTGCTTTCCTATGTTTCCCTTGCTTCAAAGGTTTTTGCCTGTGATTTTGTAGTGAAAAGTTTTAGATGACTCTCATTTCCACTTTGTTTGCAGCTTGAGTGAGCTTCTAGAGCGCATATTTTCGTCGCAGTTGTTAGGAAATAGTTCATATTCATAGGCCGATCGACATCCCCTATGTACTGCGCCATGCATACGATTCCCACGCGGTAGTGCTAGGAAGGTGTAACCCATGGAGGGGTTTTTTCCGCGCGGAGCACGAGCTGCGGCTCCTACGGTTCAGAAAGGTCCAAGCGTATACTATACTATATTTTGTTTGTTAATTAAAACGTCGTTGTGAGCGACTGCCGCAATTATCGTTGTCTCCCATTCTTCACTTCTTAGCTTGCAACTCGAATCCGTCTTCAGCTATTCTTCAAATCTGAACACGAATAAGGGTTTTAACAATCATGCGATTGTACGACATCTCCGTATTGCTGCTTTTTCCACTTCCGAATGAGCCCTGCATGTACCACTCTCCCCCCTCCCCCCTCCCGCCCCGGCCAGCCCGCCCCGCCCCCTCCCCTTTCCTGTCGCGGTATATGAATAAGTTCCCCCATTGTGATTTCCACAACGAAAGCGTGCCTGTTGCCAACGCAGAATGCTTCTGATTAGAAGCATTGTGCAAGCATAGAACTGGCCATAGTTTATTGTTAGAATGAAAAGTCGAGTACTGTCTAGTGAATATAAGTTTCTTAAACAGCTTCCTCGATCATTCCTGCACATCGATGTCGAGGCTTGCACTTTTGTTCGAATCCGAAAGGGTACACTCTGAAATGAACATCCGAGATGGAGAAACAATGAACTAACTTTCGTGTGTTAATTGAAATATATAAAATATACAAGAGGAAGTGACACATCACGTGCACGGTCCCGTAGTCCGATCCCGGATCGGCTCTCGCCCAGAACAACCAAACCTTCTATACTCTGTGGACGGAAAATAGGCTAAAGTTGTTCATGATGGAAGGAACACTGATTTCTATATGGACTGGCACCGCAAGGCATCGTGTAGGCCAGAAGGCGTTCAGGAAATCATTATGTACGACTATGAGAGAAAGTAGAATGCGTGCCGCATCCCAAAAAGGGACTGATCTACGGCGGAGGTCTTGAACTTCAGGCTGCGATCACACTTTGCGTCCACTGTCATTTCGAGGGTCGACTTGGATAGTATAGGCATCGATCTAGCCTGCACCAGCGCACCAACCTGCACTAGCGTCTCCCAGCGTCCAGAAATCTAAGTAATAAGTTTAAAGAGAGCGCTGGAAAGTGTGTTTAATGCTGATTATTTACAGCTGGATGCTTTGCATTCCAGACAATCTTGCACGTGCTCGCCGCTCGCCAATCCTCACTAGACACTCTTCATTTGACATTGCAAGATGCTAGCTCGGAACTGGGTCATTTCATCACCTTCCTGCAAGTTATTCACTCACTATCAGAGAAGTCTTGAAAGCTAGCAATGTCTAGAATGCGCGTAATGGAATGACTGAAGTAGCCAGTGTTGGCCAATTGATTTTAGGTACGCTTGCACTTGCCTTTGTTGGAAATCGAAAATGCGTCTAGATGGGTATGTACGAGTCTCTGAAGGTGGGGATGTGCTGCTAACGTCTTCCGTAGAGCACTGACTGTGATCCTCTATTCCCAAGCGATTAAACTGTCCCCTGGATATTCCCTCACCGGTACTGCCCGCTGTATCACTAGCTGATGTGATATGAGGAAAATATGTCTCAGAAGAGTCACTCGCTCTTACCGCACACCTTCGATGGCCTCGCGATAATTCATCTCCCAGTCATAAGGATCGCTCATCTTTCGATCACCAACCATTTCCTGAAATTCGACGTTGAAAAATTCTGAAGAAATCTGCACTTACACAAAAAATAGAGTGTATACCGTAAGCAAAGCTTGCAGTGCAGCATAGTTTGGTTCTTCCTCAGTATTCAGGCTGAACACCGCTCGAGCGAATTCTTGAAACGGTTCGCTTGTCAATGAAAGGAATGAAGTTTGAGGTGCACCTTGCTGAAGAAAATAGTGCTATATCACAAACTGGATAACCCTTCGTGGAAAGTCAAAGGCATTCATTTGAAACAGAAGTACCAATTCGAGTTTAGCTTGTTTGACGTCATCGCCTTTCACGATATACTTCCACGGTAAGTCGCCAACAAGCAGTTCAAGACCTGAAAGAGAGAAAGGTTCTGCACCCCTGCTAACCAGTAGCCTGTCTGCAGGGCCTTGGGACGTTACTTCGTCGTCGTGACACACCCGTTTGAAGTGTATAATAGTAAGTCCGAGATAATCGAGTGAGCGGAGACTCGCAGCCCTTGTGATTTTTTTCGTTGGTGCCCCTCTCGCTCCATAAAGTTCGAGAGCAGGGCAGCGCGAAAGCTCAATGGATACGATCCCTTACAACTCCACCCATCAGATTATCGTGGGCAATGCCGTGCCCTTGCTGATTGGGGTAAATGTACGAACCAGAGTATACGAGAGACACGAGATCATCTGCAGGACCTTGATCGATGCGTTCATGTACTCGAATCGAGACATAACGTACCGTTCCTCTGAAATCATTCAATATTGTCTGTTTCTAAGAATTAAAATGTCCGAGAAACCCTTAGAGGGGAAGGTTCTTCCGTTGCAAACATACACGACCCTCTTACTCTCTTACGTACTCTCTTATTCTACAATATTTGAAACCACAGTTCCATAGTAGCATCGGTTATCAAGATAGTGTCATGGATCTAAAAAGTGGGTAGGAGGGGAGCGTTTGCGAAGATGCAGGGCTTGAGGCATAGGTTTTACCTCCATTCTCGTATCCCTAAAGACCCCGATCAATCCGCAATTACCCGCTGGCTGCTATCTGTGTGTCGCTCACGTTTCTTCATATCAACTGCGAATGTAGAAAGTTGAGCCAAAGTGACGTCGTTTACAGTTTATTGCTTGACTTGCTCTAACGCAGTGATCGCTTTTCTTACTGCTCACATTCTTTTTCTGTGCTCAGCGCACATTTTGCGGTTCCCAACTAAGTGGTCCCTTCCCTGTACAAGTTAACCCGACGTACTATTGACGATAAAGCACTTTGATCGGAAATGAGTGACGATTACAGTGATGGTGAGATTGTCATTCGCTCGAGCAACCCCCCACCCCGTATTAGTAGCGGCCTCAGCCAGAGACGAACGCTATTGGTGAAATCATTGGTGCCTGTCGTCACACTCATGTGTTTCTCACTCTTCGGTACTGGTCTACTGTCTTTGAGACCTGGATCTCATCGCGTTCGCTGCTTTGCATGCTGATCCTACGCCTCGCATTCTACGCTCTATTCAGATTGTGATGGTTATTCAGAGTGTGATGGTTCATCAGTTGCGATATGGTCTATGTCGTGGATTGTCATGGGCCGACCCAACTGCACTACTACTCACTGTTTGTATACTCACGGACGAATCTGATACCGACTTGCCGTTCCCGGAGGAAAGAAAACATGCATCGCAGGAACCGCTCAGCCCGTTCGGGCCTTCTACCCTCCGGACTCAGCTCTCGGGCTGCGGGCGTTTCAATCGAGTCACTTGCCGCCACATCGCCTCTGCTTCTTCTCTACTTGTTTCAGTCCACACCACCTCTCCTTACAAAGAGCTCAGATAATCGTAGGTGGTCGTTGGCTCTGCCTTCGCGACTGACGTGAGGATTACCTACCGGAATCCTGCTCTCGCTCTCAGAGGACGTGTGGTACCATCTAGATTTTTGTATCGTCGCACAAGTCCAAAGTCAACTATTACGAGTATATGACGAGTCTGGAACCAACTAGTTTTTTTTGCTCATTGTTGATGAAGTCTGTTTTGACAACAGGTCCGAGAAACAGTGCAAGAGATCCAGGAAAGTACCTGAGGAGTGATTCCGAAACACATGTTAGCTGGTTTCACATCCCGATGAATATAACCACCCAAATGAACATCTCGTAGGGCAGCTATTGCCTGAAAGTTCGGAAATTCTTTCTAAAATGCCTTTAATGGTCACAGGCCCTAATCGCTTTTCGGTCATCATCACGAGTGCACTTGGGAACATCTTTTTTGTCATGAGAGCCTGAGTTTATGCTTGGACTTGCAGCAGCTAACTGTTTATGTGGAACTTATTCATGTTCTATACCCTATTTTGATGAAAATCTCCTTGGATGGTAGGTAGGTATCGAAGGCGAAAATGGAGTGGCAGTCGTGTACTAGAGATCTTACGCAACTCTGTGACGTCTACTGGTGCTTTTTGCATTCTGTCTAGTACGGCTAGCTGACTAGAAGTTCGAAGTCAAGCTGAGCACCGACTGAGCTCTGCCCGTCATGGATTCTGTATTCGGGCTTTCGCTGACAAGGACCTATCCACTCAGAACTCTTTTGATGTAATGGTAAGGTAAAGTGCCAACTTGCTGCATAATCCGCCCAACAGTGCTTCTGCCAAGTCTTTTGACTGGACTGGCTTTTTTCAAATCTCCAATATTAACACTGAGTAATTGCATAACTGAAACAGGCAGTTATTGCTAGCAACAAAAGAGGCAATATAGGTGGCGGCTTTCAAATTTTTACGAGGATAGAAAAGTGAAATGCATCAGTCCAACAGGGGTCCCCGATCCTTACCTGTCATACTCATTCTGGAGACCAGACTTTAGGATCAGCGACGTCGCGTGCGGCAATCTGCAAACTACTCGTGCTTGCAATTGAGCGCGCGTTCGCGATAAACCACCATGCCATTGCATTATTTAACTAGATGATGTGTGATTCCGCTTCAAGCGTGGCTGTCCACTCTGGTAGGATCTGTTGTCATAGCCGTTAGGTTTTGTTTTGGTTCCCTAACTAGAGTGATTACATAGCAACTTATAGTGAGGAGGAACCTGCACAATTCCGCTCGCGCATTAATTTAGCCTTAATCATTTGACACTCACAGTGCTTTCTGAACAGCATATTCTCAGAGACTTTACTTACTATCGCATTGCTGAGGTACGACGGACTGTCCTGTTGAAAAAAATAACAGCGAAATGTCACTAGATAGTGCGATATGCGATAACACGGTGAACCATCGCGAGCGCGCACCAATATGGTGACTGCAGTTTGTCGCGCGCGACATCGCGTGGTCCTACCGCCACATACATTGACCTGGAACATCACGGCGGCCTGGCAGGTCCGTACATAGCGTTGACATAAACGTGCCGAAATATGGACCTATTTCAAGCTTACGCCATGTGAATCATAACCCTGCTACATGACGCATGGTCCGGAGGTAAAAGCAGATTCTACGTAGACTAAATGAACCTTCCAGTCAGCTTACTAAGAGATGCGCCTGAACGGGCGAAACGCTGTCCTGCACATTGACTGGACCCCGCACAGTCTACGTTATCGTTGTGCGAATCCGATCAGACTTGCCGTAGCTGATCGCTGGAGAGAGATCGGGCCGTCTTCAGCGCTGTGAGATCTTTTCTATTGTTGGTTTCTCCTGTTTCGGGCGTTTTATGCGAATTTCTTCTCCATTCACGGCAAAATTTCGGGTACGAGGCGAACGCGATGGGCTCTAACCGTGACCCTTTTGAAGTGCCCTGATCACATTCACGCATACTGATGATGTGCCCTTTTGCCGCATTCGTATAGGAGCAAATGCACTTTGAGTGCAACATTTTTTGTATGGGAAGAGCGTTGCCAGTCTCAAATGGAGAACTGATGATGACAAGCATTTCCAGGGAACGGAGGCGGGGGGGGGGGGGTGGCGGTAATGTGACTAAATTGTCTCAGAGACTGTCAAATCAGAAGAAATAGTACCTCACATATATCGTCCATCCATAAACTTACCGATGAAATTGATTTTATGATCATGACCAGAGGCAATCATTTTGGGTATGTGGGGTCTGCCTTGTAATCGGAGAAGAACCTTAAATATTCATTTCAGCATGTTTGTTGATCTTTCACTTCCGTTTATGGAACGATACCTTCTGCTCTAAAATCATTCGTTTGACGGTACGACCTTTCCTCTTTTTCGGCTCCACTTTTATAGCCACCTCTTCTGCACTTCTTATATCCACGGCGTAGTAAATCTCGCCGTATCCTCCGTGACCGATCAGGCCCTACAATAACGCTCTATTACGGAATGTTATAGATAAATATGATTTGAAATCAGAAAGCGAGACCTTCTTCCATACCTGGTGTATCAGTGCAGAAAAAGTGAGCAGCCATAGATGTGAGTGATAAAGCCTTTGGGCCGGATCAATAGTTTTTTTTCGGAGATTGACGAAGAATTCAGCGAAATCAACTGGATGGTTCGATGAGCTCCACTGATTACAGGGTCGATGCGAGCTGTGGGTAGAAGCCATGTCGTAGCTCAAGCTAGTGAGAGGGATCCGCATGATATAGGGCGACCAGCCACTGACCCCTATTGCTAGCAAAACCATCTAGGTAGTGAGTAAGAAGAGATGCATAACGTACAGTCGTGCTATAGACGTGTGCTACTCGTTTTCCGCACGCGGTCGCCTCGTCCATGTTAAAGGAAGAACCCGC